GCCACAATGCCTGGCTATTTTTTGGTTGCAGCCATTATTGTTTGGCGGGCCCGGGTTGGGATTCGAACCCGCCACCTTAGGTGTATGTGGCTGGCACCTTAGCCACTTGAGCCACAGGCACCGAGCCAGAAATTTTTAAATTTGTTTTCCTTTAAATCACAGCTGATGGAAATCAAGAAAGCATCAAAACACTATAAAATCTAGAATAAAATTAAAACATTCTCCATATATACCTATGTATCTTAAATTAAGTATACTTTGATGTTTAAAGTAAATAAACCATAAAAGTTCTCCAGAGTAATTTTCAAATTATGAATTAAAAAATCAAAGAAAATCTAACAGACACAGAAGAACAGACTAAATCATCATTATTAGTTACAACTGGCATTTTAAAATGTACAACAATTACGATGGCTGATAAAATTTAAAACAAATATTTTATACAAAATGCTATTCCCAATAATAAATAGAATAAAATAGAACCATAATTTACATTAAAACTTGGTTCCCATGTTACTAAAATACAATCCTTAATTTTTCTGTCTTACTATGCCTAGAGAAAAATCTCACAAAGAGCAGATAATCACAAACTGAAGGAAATTAATAATTAGGACACCATCTTTCATAATTCAGTATCAAAAATATTTTGAAACATACTATAACCTATATGTAAAATCATCACTGGACAAGAGAGATGAATAGAACCTTCTCTAAAGAATACAGACAATGGCTAACAAAAACATGAAAAAATGTTCATCATCCCTAATTATTAGAGAAATGCAAATCAAAACCACCCTGAGATACCATCTAACGTGAGAACCGCCCTCATCACAAAGTCTCAAAACTACAGATGCTGGCACGCATGTGGAGAGAAGGGAACACTTTTATACTGCTGGTAGGACTGCAAACTAATACAACCTTTTTGGAAGGCAGTATGGAGAACCCTCAAAGAACTCAAGCTAGACCTCCTATTTGATCCTGCAATCCCATTGCCGGGCATCTACCCAGAAGAAAAAAAATCCTTTTACCACAGGGACACTTGCACTAGACTGTTTATTGAAGATTAATTTACAATTGCCAAAATGTAGAAATAGCCTAAATGCCCACCAACCCAGGAATGGATTAACAAGCTGTGGTATCTGTATACCATGGAATACTATTCAGCCACTAAAAAAGATGGAGACTTTACATCCTTTGTATTAACCTGGATGGATGTGGAACACATTATTTTTAGTAAAGCTTCACAAGAATGGAGAAATAAGAATCCTATGTACTCAATTCTGATATGAGGACAATTAAGGTCCCAGTACACAATGGAGGGTGGGGGAAGGAGAGAGCTGAGAAAGGGAAGGAGGGAAGGGGTAGGGGGCTCAAGGGGTGTGGTACACCTTTTGGGGGTAGGACCCAAATATAAGAGGGTCCTTATCTAACAAAAGCAATCAGTATAACCTGGTTCTGTGTACCCTCAACGAATCCCCAACAATTTAAAAAAAAAGAATGAAAAAAAATTTTTTTTAAGTCCTTTCAGGACTCAAAATGTTCCAAGTTCTCTTTTGTAGCACATCTAAAAGTGTTAAGTATTTAATTTATAATACAACAAAATCTTCACAGAGTAGATAGTGGGTCACCACAAAATTTTTGAGACCAACTGTGTGATGGCCCATTATTTTACTTTCAAGAAACACAGTCAACAGCATCTTTTCTGATTCACCTATGCAAGTTTCTACTTTCTGGGTTTATCAGTGTTGCTGGGAGGGTTTCATTTGTTTCCCCCTGGGTAGATATTATGTTTCTTGACTTTTGTGTATCTCAAAATTTCCATAATGACCCACATATATACCTTTCAACCCTTACAAGTTAAAAGACAAAAACAAAAAAGTGCTGTTCATAAATAGTACGAATATAAAACTCAGAGTCATTTGCTGTTCCATTGTTTCAGGAACCATTTATTAATATTAGATTACACCAGATGCTAGGTGGCACCACACATGGTCTCTACTCCTTCCCCCTCTCAAGAAGCACATTATCTAAGAGGGAGACAGTAATGACTCTAATTCAATATAACAAATACTATGGTAGACAGGAGTATGAACAGAATAATTGAGGGATAGTGAAGAGGGATGCAGAAATCTGACATAAGAGGTTTCATTGTTTACTCAAGTCTCCATTATTCAAGAGCAGGATAATCATACTAAAATTCTATGCCTATTACAAATTCATGAACCATCTTGTAATGTACTTAATTAAACAAGTAGGATCCAATGGATCTTTCATTTATATCTTCACTCTTTCTCCTCCTATGGCTTTTTCTCTGCAGCACATAAACAAAGAAAATATTTTGTATATTTAAAAATCAAAAACCAAAAATACTCCTGATTTCCTCTAGTTTTACTGCTCAATCACTATCTTTTCCTTTGCAATCAAGCTTTTTCCAACTACACTTTCACTCAATGTCTCTACGTTCTTTCACTGTATATCTCTACCACTTTGGCATTTATCATTTTATTCTTAATGTCCAGCATGGTTCTTGGCACATAAGAAAAGTCTTAGTGAATATTTTTGTACACTTTTCAGAACTCAACCTACATATCTGACCTTTTAACAGCATGGTAACTATTTTTTTTTTTTAGTTTAGCACCATTTACCAAGTGATCTCAGCTGATGTTGTAGCTGCTGCGTTGTTAGCCTGTTATTAAAACATAAAATGCTCTTCCAATTCCTCTTGTCCAGGACAGAAGGATCTTCCAGGTAGCATGCCAACAGAACAAGAGACTCTGATGACACCAGCTTCAATAATGGTGTCATCCAGAGAGGGAGAGGGTCATGGCACATTCAACCATGGCTTCCAGAGGTTTTGAAAAAGGAGCCTTTGGGGGCCCAGCCTGCCTGGCATTTTGATGCTGTCGGTGTGAGTTTTGTTTTCCATAATGGTGTTGGGAGGTAGGTTAAGCACTCACTGAAGCATATCCCAGATTCAGGCTGTGGTTGCTTGGTCGCTGGCAGTCTTATTCCATATTGAAATTATGTACTCCTGAAAGCAGACAGAGACCACAGCCCATAGATCTCCTCTCCCACCATAAACTGTTCCCTCAACATGGCCAGGATGAGATTCTCCCAGCAATGAGAGGCCAAGCCCTTTCACAACTGAATAATCCACTTGCCACCATTTTTATTTGCATCATCCTCCCAAATGGGTTTAATTCCTTCTTTGAAGAGATGGAAGTCACTGTGGCCTGTCAGGTCCCCAGGACGTACCATGTGGCTATAAAACCTCCAGAACTGCTCCACAGAGGCAAAGGTGCTAATCTATTTGATATTCTGTTCATAGCTTTGTGAGCTGGTAGGACGGCCGGGGGTTCTCCTGGAATACCAAAAAGTGTAGTTGTACTACAGCGGGTGCTCTGCTGGTCCAGGGACAAGAGTCTTCCTTTTGCTGCTGTTCTGATTCTTGTCTTGTTCCATTTTTTCCTTCTCACCATCTTTCTGTGCGCTGTTTTCTTCATTCTGATAATGGTCCCCACTGTCATCATTTTTCAAGGCGTTGAACTTGTTGTTCATCCTCTCACTGCCGCTGTCACCACTCCAGCATGGTAACTATTTAACTCTCTCCTCCATCTTGAAACTGTCCTTTGCTGGAATGAAACAGACTAGGAAGAAAAAGAAAAGCTAGGCTCCTTAAATCTAGCTCTGCCACCATTGAGCATGTCATGCCCTCAGGAGGGTTATGATTATTAGTTTCCTAGTTTGCAAACTATAGGTAACAATACCTACCCCATAGGTTACTAGGAAGTAAGTGGTTTAAAACTCCTAACACACTGGCTCAGCGCATCTAGCTCAGCAGCCAGGGTGCCAGCCACATACACTAGGGCTTGTGGGTTCGAACCTGACCTGGGCCTGCCAAACAACAATGACAACTACAATAATAATATAGCCTGCAGTGTGGCAGGGGCCTGTAGTCCTAGCTACTTGGGAGGCTGAAGCAAGAGAATCGCTTAAGCCCAAGACTTTGAGGTTGCTGTGAGCTGTGATGCCACAGCACTCTATGGAGGGCAACATAGTGAGACTCTGTCTCAAAAAAAATAAAATAAAATACATAAAACTCCTAACACAGAGTTTGACACATGACAAGGTTCAACAAATGATAGCCACTACTTATTCCTATCACACTGGGTCATATCAGCTAAGTCTTTTCCCAGGCTTCTCTTCCTCTTTACCTGGCTAATGTCTACTTTTCCCTCAAGACTCAATTCAGATATGACCTGCTCCTAAACACTTCAAACTATAGGTTAAATGATTCTCCTATGCACTCTCATAACAACCTTTCCCTATTTCAATCACAGAAATTATCACAAAACTTTGTAATCTTTGACCTATCTCCCTGCCCTATACAAACTGCAAAATAAAAACATCTCA